AATAATTCTGATTTATCCTTATTGATTTTTATATCATTAAGATTATAAAAGGTGTCAGCAATTGATAAAATTTTTTCTAAATTTTCCTGGTTTCCAGCCATGAAATTTGTATCATCCATATACGCTAAACCTGGAAAGTTAAAATTAATCTTTTCTTTGACATTTTCATAAATATTATTAACTTTAAAACCATCTATATTGTATCCTAGATTTGAATTCTTAATTTTTGTCAATAAAGGATCGTAGTAAATAATCCACAATAGCGGTGAAATTATCTCCCCTTGATCAATCCCGCATTGCATATCAAAAGCGTCTGTTAAACCATAAGGTGTAAAAACTTTGTTTTTTCTTCCAATCGATAGACCTGTTAATAAATTAATTAATTCTACTGGAAATTTAATTCTTTTCATCTCTTTTTCAAGCATAAAAACATTAATCTGATCATAAGCCTTTGACATGTCAAGAGCAAGAATCCATAATTCTTTATCACGTTCATTACTATGTTGAATTATCTCATTAATTATTCGTAATGGTTCAAAAGTTGAATTTAAGGGCAAGCCCGTGTATTGATATCCTTGTAAAATTTGATGTTCTACCATTATCTTCGATATACGTTTTGTAATTATTTTCATCATAACTTTTCTAGCTGTTTCCAATAACTTGATTGGTCTAGTATTATTTAATCTATACCTCCAAGGTTTCGGCTTTGTGATCGGATATATATTTGCTAGTTTCCAGTCTTCAGGCATTATTTGAGTTCGTAAAACTTCATTTATAATTTTTCTTAATAAATGATTAAATTCTGACGGAGCCTTTTTAATTTCATCATATGCAATTCCTGTTGGTCCCACTGCTTTTTTAATTGGTAAATCTTTGATTACCATATCCCATTCATCATCTGTTATTGGTTCAAGACAATTATTATAAATTAATTCATTAATTGATCTTATAGGTTCATATTCATCAGACCACTCTTGTAAATCATCTATTGTACGATTTTTTGATCCTGCTGCATTTTGAAAATGATCTTTAGTTATGTCTTTGATTTTATTTTCATCAGTAACTAAAATACTGTTTCCATCTTCGTCATCAATTAAAACTCTATCTATAAAAATTTTTTTCATTTCATTTTCAGTAATATTATCAATCATTCTTCGTTGATTATCTGCCAAATCTGCACAACTTTTATCTATGGCTTCTTTAATTTTATCATTTTTTAGATTAAACATTTCCAGTGAAAATTTTGAAAATAATGTATCGTATATCTCATTTAATTCCTTAACATATTGACCTATTAAAAATTGACTTATTCTATGTTGTAATAAGAGATACGTTGAATTCACTTCATCTATTGAATGTCTTTTAACTAAATGTTTTAAATAATTATTGTAGTATTTCCAATTTAGAGTGAGTTTTTCAAAACTCAATTTCTTTTTAAATTTTCTTCTTAAATATACAATGTATCGTAAATCTTTATATAATTGTGTATGTTGAAATGTTTTGTCATGGTCGACATTAACTATAATTTCTTTAGATCGAATATGTTGTTGTTTAATTTTCAATAAATTATTTTTAAAAAATGACCACTTTTCTTCAATCGAACCATTTAAATTAAAAGAAGTAGCAACCTTTTTTAAGTCATCTTGAAAATTTAAATGATCTTTTTCTTCAGTATTATCAAAATCAAAAATATGTCTAATTAAATTTACATTAGTCGTATTCATTTTTTTTGTCTGTAAAATCGGATAAATCAAATCTTCATTAATAAAATCAAAAGTTAATAAGGCATGATCCGTTTTAATTATATCTCTTATATTAATAATTTTAGCCTTCAATGTTTTCGTGAAAAGATTTTCTGATATCCATATATAATCAATTCTTGATTTAAAACGACCAAAGTAAGTCATTATTTCTTTTGTATTGTCCATGTCATAAGTTTCTTTATGAACATCCCATAAATTAAGATTTTCTAATTTCTGAAAAATTTTCAACATTTTTGGCATAGATTGTTTATTATCAAGTCGTTTTTTAAACCTTCTATATTGTAAATTAAAATCACCACAACAAATGATTTCCATTTTTTGAGATTTAGCTATTTTAATATGATTAATCACATGTGTATTCATATTAATTTTGTTGTTCATATCTACACCCGTACGATGATTAGCTAAATTATAAAATAATATTAAACGTAATTTTTTATTATTTTTAAAGGAAAAATCCACTATTAATATACGTCCATTAATTTTTCTATATTGAATATATGTTTTTCTAAATTATTTCGTATTATAAGCATAACTCCTTTTCCAATAGCATTTTTATTATCATTATGTGAAATAATTTTGTATCCAGCTTTATCTGCGTTGAAAAAATTAATTTCTTTATCAGCTTTTTGTGTTTCTGTAATACCCATTATATCGACACCATTTTTTCTTATATAGTCAAAAATATTGTTCAATTTATATTCTGTTAAGGTACATATATTAAGCACCGCTATTTTTGTAAAATATTTCTGATTATCGTGCTCGTTAAACATATCTATATTATCGTTAATTTGATTTGGAATTGTATTATCTTCCATTAAGTTTGTTTTTTTCTTCTTTTTCTTTTTTCTTTTATAATTAATTAAATGTGGGGGTGGATTGTTAAAATAATTATTAATTAAATTGTTATTATTGGGTTGTACAATCATTAAGATTTAAAATGTGGATTCGAACTGGTTGGCTGAATTGCTAGTACCCCCAATACTTGCAATTTTGGTTGTAGTAGAATCATTTTGTTCTTTATCGGAAAGTTGTCCAGTAAGTTTCGTGATCATATTGAACATATTATTTAATAAACTATCTTGTTTTTCTACTCTTGATTCTAAGTTAAGCACTAAATTGTTGTCATCATTTTCACTTGAAGATGAGTCAGGTTTGGCACGCTTATTATTATCGTTAACTATTGGCAATTTGTTCGGGTTTTGTTGGAGACCTTTACGATTATTATTATTTTTAAAGGTTTCTTTAATTGAATTAATTTCTTTTCTAACTATATCATTTTCTTTTCTAAATTCGGTAATCATTGCATTTAAAGTGGTAAGTTGTTTTTTAATCTCTGATAAATCATTTTGTGAAGATGTATGTTTGTTGTTATTTGGATCATGCATAGAGCCTCCTTTCTTAGTTCCACCTTGAATTGGGTTGTAGTTGTTGTCACTTATATCTTCTTCGTCACCCCAAGCTTGCATTTCTTCTTCACTAAAGGTGTATGTATTGTTATTACGTTGTCGGTTGATAATATTATTTTGATTCCAATGCCGTTGTCGATTATTAGGATATCTATTTCCCTTAGTGGCATCGGCGTATGAATTGAATCTAGATTTATTACGATTTTTAAATTGTTGGAGCAGTTGATTACGATTTAATTTATTAGAACGTTGTCGTAATTCCGTTTGACATTCCTTCACTACGTGTCCCGTATATCCGCATCTATGACAAGATTTGGTATCTAACGGGAACCATTCTAGTTGTTGACCTTCATATTCATATACATTATTGGTTGCAATACTAAAATCTTCATCATTTCTAAAATATACAAAAGCATATTTCATAGGTTTATATGTCACGGGGTTGCGTGGAATAAAAATAGATGCAGCGCTGGTTTCAGTAACCAATGGTTGTAAATCACGTGCACAAGTATTGAACGGTAAACCATTAATTTTAGCTGCAAATTGGAACTTTTCAGATTTTTTTTCTTCAGATAGCAAAACAGGTACCACTGAGAGACATTCTTTAAACTCCCATACACTCCATTGAGCGTAAAAGGGTTGTAAGCTAAGTTCGTCTTTGTAGGTTATAAAAGCTTGTCTGTATATACCTTTGAGTCGTGTAGTAATGCCATCTTCTTCTAACTCTCCATAACGACTAAAAACAGCCTTCAAATTATAATTTTCCATATATAATGGTATATTGAATACCTTGATAGTACGACTTTCACGAGTTTGAAAAAGTTGTTTTCGTTTTTCTTGTAAATTTTCTACTTTCTTAAAAGAGTAAACGACATTATTTTCTTCTCCATCGGTTGCACTAAGCATTTTAAAAGTCATATTACATAAGCTATTTAAATCGACTTCGGTACTAACTTTAATACTAATCATGTGACAGTATTTTTGTTCTTGATTGGTATCATCAGTCAATCTAATCGGTTTTTTTTCTTCAAAAGTGGTAACGATGTCAATTTTTGATTTGATAATTTTAACAATATAATGACAAAATTGTGTACTTTTAGGCGCCTCCGGAATCGTACAAGTAGCTTTCCATGTGTTATGTTTAGACAAGACGATTGGTGAAAATTTGGTGTCAGCCATTTCTTTTTCAGGCAATTGATTATCGGCAGATGGATCATCAAAATGTGAGTCATCATGCGTCGATTGATCATCTTGATCTTGTGTGTTGATCTTTTGTAGTACATCTGAATGATCTTCATTAGCTTTTCCTTTGTTCGCAGTTGGTGTTGCAGAGGTTGATTGTGTTACAATAGGATCGACATTTTTCGGGGTCTCGCCAGTTTTGGTTTTCTTTTTTTGCTGTGTATTTTGTGGATTATAAGCAACGAAAGGGTCGAGTTCCTGTCATTTGAAAGCTGCTTGTTGTTTTCTATTATATGGTAATCTTGCAGTAGCAGCTGCCTGGTGTTGTTGTTTCTTTTTCTTCTTGTTTTCTTGACGTAAGGTAGCTCTAGACTTAACTGTAGTAAACTCCTCATCGTTAGGAGTGAAAGTAAAATTATTCGAAGTATCTTGCGCAGTAGAAGTTGTACCAACAACGAACTCCTTCCATAGTTTCTCCCTGCTCCTGGTTGTCTATACCCTTCTGGGCAGCACTACGAGTAGTCCTAGTTGGGGTGGACATACCGTTATAGTTTACGAAATAGGATTATTAGAAAAAACGAAAATAAATTTTCTAAGTTATATCTTTGTAATAATACAAAAAAGTAGGAACGGGAGAGAGTTTTTTTCATGTTCATGTACATGTATATAATAATATAAAGATTAACTGGAGACTTTTTTACCAAAAAGGCAATTTTTTTCGTATCCACGGCAACTGTGCATGTGGTGATTTTTAAAAATGGAATGGGAAAATTTTGGCGAAAATCTGGTCAAAATGGGATGATCGACTAAAATTTTTTCCCCTTAAAGATAAAAATTACCAGAAAATCTTATCTTTGGGTTAAATAAAATTATAGACATCGCTAACTATTACTGTTAAATAAAAATAAAAATAAAAATAAAATTATAGACATATTGTTAATTTTTTTGTTTCTTTGTAATTTTTTTTATTAAATAATTTTTTTAATATTATAGATTTAAATAAAATATAATAACCAATGATTTTTTTTATATTTATTTATTTTTTTTTTTAATTAAATCTTCAGGTCATATCACTTGAGTAGATAAACTGATAAATTAAATTTTTTGATATTCTTTTTATTCTTTTAGTTTTAACTCGAATGAGATGGTCAGTTCGGGTGACATACCTGTGTTATGCCAATTTTTCTTTTTGGATTGTTCGTTATTATTGAAGTACTTTTTTATACAATAAAATTGACACGCGTTTTATTAGTATAAAGCAATTTTCTTAAAAAAAAAAAAAAAGTATATATAGATGTATTGTGCTTAAAGACATTTCTCTATAAATTTATTCATTTATATAAGATTATTTCTATTAAAAATCAAAGCAAAATAAATTTTAATAAAAAAAAAAATGCCTTGCAAATTTAAATACAATCTGCTATATTGATCAACATAATGAGACAGTTAGAAAGTCAAGTTTTATTGTTAATGCTGTGGGCATTGTTAATCATGACATCAAAATATTAATATTTATGTTCACATTATTGCATTCTACCCAAAAGACATAACATGAGATAATGACTTAGAGAGATTTAACAAGGGAGATATTATCCAAATACAAGGAAAATTTTCTGTTGTTGAAACAGAAGTGGATGACAATAGAATCAAAGTTATTAAAAGTATAAAACTTATAATTTTTATTCATCAATCATCAGTTTCATTTAATCAAAATTTCTTTTTTACCAAAAAAAAACTGCCATTTTTTTAAAGCAAAAAGGTATTAGCATCTAGTATATGCGTGCTTAATCTAGATGAAGAAGATCTTCCTCATGCCCCATATCCATTATACTAACAGGTGTTGCATCTGATAATCCTGATATTGGTGATGATAAAATTACTTTAGGCTTAAATGCTAGAGAATATCTTGACAACCAGAACAATAACTCCCTGACATTTGAACTATACCACTTCCCAGAAGATGCACATCTGCTACCAATTTCCAGTAAAATTTTATGTGGCTCTTCTTTGTACATAACAAGATATTTATCTATAATTGAAGATCTACTCCTTATAATTCTTTTACTCAACAATCATCAGCTGAAATAGCTAAATCATTATCAATGAAAATCAAAAAAAAGAGAAAAACGCCAAACATCAGTTTTATCTCATCCACAAAAGATCCCAAAGCTCTCCTTCCTATCATTACTTGATGAAGATGATGACTCTCAAAATGTAATTAGTAACCAACAGGAGGAAGAAATCTTAGCAGATAATACTGTAGAAATACAAGCAGATGAAAAACAAGAACAGAAAAAAAAGAGAGGAAGAAAAAGAAAATAATTTACTAAAGGAAACAATATTTTTTTTATTTGTAGTTTTTTTTTCATTTCTTGACTTATTAGCTATCTTAATTTATTATATATATAATTAAATCTAGAATTCTATATAAAATCTTTAAATTAGATGCAATATTACCAATTTGATATTTATAATCAATAAATATCAATTACAATCATTTAAGCTAAGAATGGACAACTGATTAATAAAAACATATTATTACAATAAGTTAATATCCATTATTTATTTGTGTGCTAACTGGCGGAGACACAGTCACTGCACATCGGAATCCTCTAGTTTTAATAATAAAAGAGTGAAAGAATTATTATGTAAACTTGAATAATTTGTTTATGATGGTGCATAATTAATAGTAATTTATTTTTAATTAAATAATTTTTTATTTTCTTTCATAAAATACTATGTTAACATAATGAATATTCTTTATTTCAATTTATACTCATATTTAAAAAATATTAGTTATGCTCAAAAATATAAAAAAAATAAAAATATAAATATCAACTTAATTTACTTATTAATTAGGGTTTTAATTCAGAAATTCAATGGAAGATTATTTCTGGAACTTTTATTTCAAATTTGATTTAATTTTACAAATGCCTGTTACTTTCATCAATAAACTAATATAAATTACAATAAAAAAAATTTCAAAATTATAAATAGTCTATTTAATTTAAAATTTTGGAAAATGTCTCGTGGATCGTGATACCGTTAATGCAGATCAATGAATCGGAAAAAATACGGCCCGAAAAAAAAATTAAATGATTAAAGTAGCCTTAATTAGTAACATTATTAAATATAAAAAAAAAATATTTCGTCCATAAAAAAAAAGAAAAAAATTTTATTTTTCTTTTTTTGAATACTGTATATTACGAAAATAACCTAATGGGAACCGAACTTAGTAAATTAAAAATCTCAGATAATCATAAAAATTGTTCGTATTGTAATAAACCCTTTACTGAAGAATTATGGTGTAAAGAATGTGACCCATGTAGAATAATGGAAGGATGGTCCAGTGGAAATTCTGTTATTGATAAGTTTATAAAAGATACAATGTATAATGAAAAAAATAAAACAGATTATGTCGATGAATTTCTTGAATGGGTACCATTTGATAAATTTACAGATATAAAAGAAATTGGTGAAGGTGGATTTGCCAAAGTATATTCTGCAACTTGGATTGATGGTAAATCAGCATATGAATATATTAATGGAAATTGGGAAAAACAAGAACCTAAATCTATAAAAGTTGCTTTGAAAAGGTTAAATGGATCACAGAATATCTCAGATAAATATTTAAATGAAGTACGTTTTTATATATATTGTATCTTGTTTAATTTATTTCATTTAGGTGTTTAATATTAAGAATCATTTAAATTATTTTATTTTAACTTTATTAAAATATAGCTTAAAATACATTGGGAAATTTCTAATAAAAATGGATTGAAATTTTATGGATTAACTAAATACCCAGAAACTAAAGAATTTATGATGATTATGAATTTTGCTTATGAAGGAAGTTTGAGAAGTAGTCTTTCAAATAACTTTAACAACACTATGTGGGAAAATAAAATTGATCGTTTATTTTATATATTATATGACTTAAATTCATTACATAAATTAGGATATTGTCATAAAGATTTTCATAGTGGTAATATTTTACAAATTGGTAATTCCCCTTATGTTTCAGACTTTGGATTATCAGGACCAGCAAATGAACAAAAATCAGATGATAGAGTAGTATATGGAGTAATGCCATATATTGCACCAGAAGTCTTAAACGGAGAATCATATACATCATCATCCGATATTTATAGTGTAGGTATAATTATGGCCGAATTATCATCAGGAAGACCACCTTTTTACAATAATAAGCATGATTTAAGCTTATCATTAGCCATATGTATTGGACTCAGACCAGAATTTGGAAAAGGAACTCCTGAATTTTATAAGAAATTAGCTTATAAATGCATGAATGCCAATCCAAATGAAAGACCAACGGCCGAAGAATTAAAGAATATATTTGATTTCTGGGATGATTCTATAAAAGGTAAGAATGATGAAATAGAAGAATTCGGTTATAAAGGAAAAGAAATTAAAGCGGCATTTGAAGAAGCTGATAAGGAAATACCAAATATCTCAACTTCATATGAAAAGAATTCAGATGCTGTATATACCAGTAGAGCGTTTACATTTAGTAATTCATTACCAAAACCCGTTAATTCATCCATTATTACTTCATATGTTAATAATGAAGGTATTTTCTATTTTTAAACATTTTATTTTTTAAATAATTGATTATCATTAACTTTTTATTGCTTTAATAGTTTGTGACTCTCGATTAATCGACTTGAAAGTATCTAATTCAATACAATTAAGACTGTCTCTTATACACATCTAGATGTGTATAAGAGACAGCTCGATTAATCGACTTGAAAGTATCTAATTCAATACAATTAAGAGGTACATTAAACATAATTTACCACTTATTTTTATACATTTAAAATATACTAATAATATTTATATTATTTATATTGCTGATATTTAGATACCGACGATGAAATCAAGTGAATTGAATATAATTTATTTATAAGCTATAGTATAATTGGTAGCTTAATTGACTTTATAATCATGTAAGCTTATGATAAATTAAGTAACTTAAAACTTTTAATAAACTAATGTATGTTTAAAGTTTATATATAGTTATTATTTGTAAAATTCCGTTTCCAGAAATATAGTTTCCTTGAATTTCAAAATTTATCAATTTATTTGAACGTGTATGTTTTGGTATTGACATAGTTTAATTTTCAAAGTAAAAAAATTTATATAAGCGTAAATCACATGGATCGGAAATTTAAAAAATCATCTGAAAAATATTTTCTGAAATCTAAGGTTGGGCTAATACGTTTAAACGAAGATTTTGTAAAATTATGGATTATCATAAAAAAGTTATTATAATTGTTTTACATAACAAATCTTACCCAAGTTTTTATGGGAATTATCAATACTGACCGTAATTATTTTTGAACATCTCAACAATAAATTCTAATTCACTAATTGATTTTGCACATTTTCTGTTAACTTAATCTAAAAACATTATTACAGTACTTAAACAAGTATTGCAACTAAAGAATTTAATATCTTGAAAAGTATCTTTCTAAATCAGGAATAAGTTGAAATTGTTTAGATATATAAAGATGTGTTAATTTTTGTATTTTCATTAATAAAGAGAATATATATTTCACTTTTGATTTTAAAATCTTTATTAACAGGATTAATTATCCATTTTATTTAAATTATTTAAATCTAAATTTCTAATAATTAAATAAAGGTCTTTTTTATATGAGTTTGTTTAAAAATCAAATTTTTTTAATTTGTTTCTTGATTCGTCAAAAATTACGTTTAAAAATTTAATTCGCAATTCGATAATAATCGGTGGAGCATTTTACATATTAATTTTTGTACGTTTTATTTATAATTAAGCAAAGCAGCCCATATTATAATAATTTTAATTGCTATAATATAAAATTTGGCCAGCACTATGAGAGTTCTTAATCGTTGAAAAATACAATATGCCTAAATATACCTATAATCTCCAGCTCGACGATTTTAATAGTAAATTCTAACGAAAATGTCTAATTTTGTAATTTCAGATCTCATTTGGAATTTGCAATTTTGAAGATTATATTCTCATGATTTTTTTTTAATGAGAGATAGCCAGAAAGTCAAGAATTTGTTTGGTACTTTTAAACGTTTGAAATTACAATAAAACTTTACCAATAATTGCATTTCGGCTCTAGATTATGGATACTAATATTAAATTGCTCTGCCGATCCATCTCTCGCGAATTGCGAATTAACTTTTTATGGTTCTTTAAGGAATTCCAAGCAAGATTTTCCTATAATGTTAGAACAATAATTACGCACAAAGATTTATTAGTAAAAAGTGCCTTTTTATTATAATGTATTTCATAAAGAATATCTTGAAAATTTTTAATAAAATAGAAAAAAAAAGCGCAAAATGTTAAATATAAGGTGCAAGTTACTACAAATTTGATGTACAATGCGTTCAACGTTGTGACGTTTCATCATGTTAGCCAAAATCATACTAAAAATCATTTACTCAATGTACGCAATTTATTTGTCATTGATGAAAATATTAAATATATAACGTAATAAATTAAAATAAGTATTAGTTAGTTTTAAAGTATAAAACTCTTTTTGAAAATAAATAATCTAAATTTTCAATTTTTTTCACGCACGTCACACAAATAAGAGTTTGATAACAAATATAAGTATTTTTTATTAAAATTTCCAAGATAATCAATATTTATGTAATTAATTTAAAAAATTCATTTTATCAACATAAAATTTAATCTATACGGTGAAATTATGAATAAAAGGAGTAAAAAGTAATCAAACAATCAAATAAACTATAATCATCTTCTGATCGAATAATTTGCTATAACTCTTTCTCCCTTATATTTTTTTATTAAATCTAATAAATCAGAAGTAAAACTCCTTCCATTTTTAAAATCCAATTCCAAAGTCATCGGATGTCTACTTTTTCAATTATCAAAAAATAACTTTAGAGGTTCTGGTTTAGATAAATTCCAAATTCTAAACTTATATAAACTAGTCGAGTAAATAATAAAGAAATTGTAACATGTATCAGTATCAGTTTTACTTACAATCTGAATTTATGATAGAGCCAGTAATTTTATTTGATAGTAATTAAAAAGCAAGATTTTTTAATTACAAATAAATAACTGATAAGTATATTTTAACGCAAAGTTACTTAAATATAAATGGTTGTTAGTAAGTATAGATGTACCACCTTATTTTTATTTCTTTTAATCAAAAGAATTCCTAATATGAGAAAATATTTGTATGATTCCACCGCTCGAAAGGATCAGTATCAGAACCCAACTTTTTTTGATTATCTGTCATACGCAATTAACGTAAATAAAGATTATTGGATTTCCGATATTTCCGTAGATAAACTTCATTAATGAGATGCCTCAACCATTTAACTCATAATATCGATTATTTTATTGATCGAATAAATTACACGTGCTTGGAACAACAAACTAGGAAGTTTTGGATTCTCATCGGCACCAATCATTTTCGATACAAATGGCGCAATCGATCAGCGATCACGTGACTTGGCAAATTATGAAACGATCGTGACGTCATCGCATTTTGGGTCTACTGTATGGATTTAAACATTCTCGGGCCGTCGGGTGTCTGAACGTGAATTAGCCTCGGGATTTGGCTTCAAGTCAGGTATAGGCGTACCATTGCACTAAACAGCTGTGTAAATTCCCTAGATAATTGACGAGGGTTAGGAAGAGCAGAGAGAGGAGTAGTTGTTTCTTTTAGTTTTGATGTATATAGATTTAGGATGGCGTCTGGTGTTTTTTTCCTTGATCTAGTTTAGTGTGTTTTATTATTTATAGTAGATAAAATGGTTAGCTATAGGGGTTTCGTTGTCCGTCGTTACCTCTGTGTTTTTTTAATACGAGTTCTGTAACATTTGTACTTATCCGTAAATAAAGATGCGGTGCTAACTTATGACAAAAAGAAAAAGAATAGTTTCTATAGCGTATAATGGAAACTTAATTTGTTAAGTTCAAAATAATAAAAAAATAATATTGTGCGATCTAATTTAAATTTTTGGAAATGCCGGCCCCGGTCCGGAGCACGAGTGTAACTCAATGAGCCAGTCACGCATACATTTTTATGAAATCATTGTAAAATCTTTGTGAAACCTTTGCATAGAATAAATAGTCCTCTGTAGCACGATGGATTAATTAAATTTTTTTCAATATTTCTTCATTTTCACATCGAAAAATGTATCAAACGATCATTCTAGGATCTATTCTATTAGTATCGCTTTATATTTTAAAGCGTGTAAAGCGTGTTCGCGAGCCAAAATTAGTAAGAATATAATTTTAGTAATTATGTGTATATATTTTTTTGATTTTTTATTCTATTTTATTTTATTTAGAATATGCCCCCTCTTGTTCGTTATAAAATTCCAATTATTGGTCATACTTATAGTTATTTGTTTAATTGCGAAGAATTCCTTAAACAATGTAAAAAGGAGGTTAGTAAAAGAATAAAGAATTATTTTTCTTTTCTTTTTGCGTCAAATTCATTAACAATTTTAATTTTCGTATTAATTAGTATGGTGGTATCTATAGTCTATATATATGGGGTCGAGTGATAACAATTGTTGGTAATATATCTGCGTATATAAATATATATTATAAATAAATAATTTTAACGTCAGCGACTAATAATATGTATTTTAATAGGAAAGGAATATACGCAAGAAGTATTATCAAAAGATGATGCGTTTAGTTTTACAGAGGCGTTTCACAAAAAATTCCCGAGTGACTTATTACTTAAAGGTTTGAGTGATACAAGCATTACAAAATTGCTTAAAGAACATGTTTTTTGTAAATTAAATTTTTATTCTGAACGTATGCAAAAAAGTCTTTATTCAGCCACTCAAAAATATATCGATATTGGTGATTATGATGAATCAAAGGTTTTTAATAATATGCATCATTTAATAACTAGAATTATTTCTAATACCATTGCAAATATTTTTATTGGTGAAGTAAGTATACTGTATATACTATTTGTTTAATATTTTGAAAAAAATATTAAAAAATTTTATTATTTTTTTTTTTTCATTTTATAGGAGGAATCACAATATGAGGAAATAATAACAACATTTGCAGAATTTACAAGTGATTCAGTAATATTTTTAATGATCCCACCAATCCTTGATTTTATTTATCCAGGACTCCAAAATTATATCAATCGTATTATCATAAAATCAGGATTATATAATCCAACAATTAAACATCAAGCTATACTAATTAAGCATATTAAAAATCAAGCTTGTAAACGTTTACAAGAGAAAGAAAAGTATGGAGATTCTTGGAAGCGTCCTGATGATTTCCTTCAGGATATTATGGAACAAGATGGCTTTGATTCTAATAATGTTAATTATTCATCATTAGCAGATAAAATGGGTGCATTAATTTTTGTATCAGTTCGTACAACATCGAGAAACTGTACGAATGCTTTGATAGATTTAGCATCTCGACCTGAATATATGCAAGAATTATATGAAGAACAATTAGAAGTTCATAAAGAAGCGGATAAAAATGGCATACTTCCTTTTGAAGCTCTTAATGAAATGAAGAAATTAGATAGTTTTATTAGGGAATCATTAAGATTAACAGGATTTATAGCGGGACTTCAACACAGTGTATTAAAAGATTATACATTCTCTAATGGATTACAAGTACCAAATGGTCATTCAGTTGAAATATATTTTGATGATATTCATCAAGATGAATTGTTACAAGGTCCAAATCCGAAATCATTTGAACCATTTAGACATGTAGATGCAAATGTTCCTGCGTCAAAAATTGGTAAAAATTTTATATTATTTGGAGGTGGTAAACACGCGTAAGTTTATATCTTATACACATCTAGATGTGTATAAGAGAGTTATTTGGAGGTGGTAAACACGCGTAAGTTTATAACGAATATTTAATTTTTTTTTTTGCAAATATTTTAAAATTAATTTAATTATCATTAAATTATTTAGATGCCCTGGAAGACATTTTGCTATAAACGAAATCAAATTTTTTATGCATAACGCTATTTTGAAATATAATTTCCGTACAGAAAGTGGTAAAATCGAAGAAAAAAAGAGGATCGGTCCATTGACAATTCCAAGTTCTTGTGGAATTATTTTTGAAAAGAGGGTTAAGTGAATTATATTCAACCAGTTTTTTTTAAAATTGATGTATTTTTCATATTAATAAAATATCCATAATTGATTCACATTGTAATCGGTTATAAACTTATAATCTTGTCAAATAAAAAAATTCATAAAATTTAATCGAATAATTCAAAAAATCGAGCTTATAAATTACGTGAATTTTATTAACTTGTATATTGGTTTAAAGTCCTCCAAAATTGTTGAGATCATAGTATATAAAATTTGTTCACTTTTGCCTATTATTTTATTGTACAACTAGGCGTAACCCGTCGCGTTGCGCCGGGGATGGACTTGCCCATTAAGTCAAGAAAATAATAATAACATATTTATACATAATTATTTGCCATGCAGTGTAGTGTGAATAGGTCTAGTTTTTACTATTATTATGATGGCGTTAGTAGGAAATAAATGTAATAAATTTATACAATTTATAAGTTTATACAAATAATAATGAATTGTGTATGGGTGTTATACAATATATGAAATATTATTATTTAATACAATTTTACTTATAGAGTGAAATATTTCATGGTATACAATGTTTTTTGACTTGCAATTTTCACTATCATTTATGAGAACTTTAATATATCTAAATAATAATATTTGTTGAATTGTTAAATAAAAAATTATTTTAAACTAGTAAATTTTGTAAAAATGACCGCATGTGATCATCACCACACCAATATTAGCAGATATTAGCGACGGAACTTCATGACATTTTTAGTTCCGCTTAAATTCTATCAGTAGCAATACTCTTTTAGAATATTTTATAGATAGTGTTTTTTGTTAGTAATTTTCCTGTCTATATTGCGAAATTAACAAATACCTAGTAATAGCTAACTTCAATTCTAATAAATGTTAATATGGCACCTTTAAAATTTTTTAATAATATCGCCCTCATCTGATCTCTTTGAATATATATATTGAATTATGACGCAATATTTATAAACTAATATGTAGTAAATTTTAAGAAATACAGTTTATTGCTATATATATTATTTCAGGAAATTGCCCGTTCGGGATAGGGATTCAGATATTAGGATAAGGATTCGGGAAATTGTATGTTTTAGGAAAGGGCTAGTTTTGGAATTTAGTATTCAGGTAATCGACTTCGGAAAATATATATTCTGTAAAATGGTAAAATGTCATTCAGGAAATGGTCTGACAATGATTTTCTACGTACAAAAAATTTTCGATCCCAAATTTTCTGCTGCTGATCATACCATTAACGTTAGCCATACTTCTTTCATAAATATAATGTGAAGTATTATTAATGCTGTAACCCAAATGGCTTATTTTCAGAAGTTGAATCCCTGAACAATGTAAAAAATATTATGCAAAGAAAGACAAACCTGTAGGAAAAAAAGGAAAAAATCATTGGTATAAATTTTTATCTAAATTGATCCTGTTTCAACGCAACAGGCTACAACTAGTAAATACTTAGAAATTATTTGTTTATCATATATGAACGAATAAACAATGATTATTAACATTTAAAATCTAGTATTTTATGAACTAAATAGAAATAAGCTAAATTTGTATAAGGAAAAAATGACCTAACTAAAACTGGATTAGCTATTGGAACTTACACATGACCCAATAATTTTATAAATTTCAATGAAGATGATATTAAACAACTTGAAATTAAAGAAGGTATTTAAATATTTGCAATTTTTATGATTTTCATCAATGGAATTCATTTAACAAATACTATTTTACAAAATCAATGGATAATTCATCAACAATTACAGCATAAAACAAAGAAACAGAAAAAAAGTTAACAAACATTATTGGAAAAAGTGAACGGTATAAGGTAAATAACAATATATTTTAAGCATAAAAAATTTATTAAAATTATCATTTTTTTTTATTTTATAAAACCTATATTACAGAGTATTGTACTTAATATTTGCACTAAAACAGTTATTAATTTATAATTTATTCATTAAAATAATTAGCTATATAACACAAATAGCATTTGTTTAGAGTAAGATAAAGAAGATATTGCCACTAAAAAGATTTTATGAAAGGAAAATGTAAAAATGGAGAAAATTTATTATAATTCTATAATTCCCGAAGTTTTCAAAAGTAAGAATTATACGCCTACTAAATCTGATAAACTATTTGTAGCAAGTGTAATTAAATTAGTAACGGAAGGTAAAACTGTTTCATAAGAAAATATTCAACAAAAAGTGGGAAATTTGAAGGTTTAATCAATTATTGAATATTCAATGGTTTTTAACGAATTATATATTAAATTACTGAATGAAAAATCCAATAATTGCCTAATAATAACTTAATTAGAAAGTGAACTAATGACTCTTCAGCGTATTTTTTTATAGTCAATTTTCTTATAAATCAGAATTATAAATTAATATTTAAGAAAACATTTAATTGTATGGAAAATTTTTGCGCCTAGATTTACGTTGGGTGGTATTAATTTATTATGTATAGATTTTGTAATATTTTTTATTGTCAAGTATAGACTTAAGGCACCATAGAAAAATTATTGCTTATACTTTGCAATGAGAAAATTTTTTATATTTTAAAAATTTTTCTTTTTTGTTCAATTATAATTGATTTAAATTAATGCTTATTAATCATTAGATTTAGGGATGGCAACGGTCACGGTCATTAACCGGTTATGACCGGTCATGACCGTGACCGATATCGGTCGGTCAAAGACCTCTGACCGACCGTTTGACCGACCGTTTAACCGATCCTGAAAACGTTTGCGAAACGTAATTTAATAAAAAAAATGTTTCGCAAACGTTTTTTTAATTATTTTAATAGAAAACGTTGCGAAAACGTTTTTTATTAAGTATTTCAATTAAATTACGTTTCGCAAACGTTTTCAGGATCGGTTAACCGGTCGGTCAGACCGGTCGGTCAAACAGTCGGTCGGTCGGTCAAAGGTTCTTGACCGGTTATGACCGACCGATGACCGACCATGACCGACCGTTGCCATCCCTAATTAGATTTAATATTTGTAATTAATATTAAATAAATAGCAATGACTCAATTAATATTGAATAAAAAATTTTTTTTATTATAGAAATTATTAAATTAACTAGTATAAGAATTTTTAATATTAATTCGCATTTTTTATGCATTAAATATTTATTGAATTTACTTAAGAAATTTTTGGGATGAATTTTCCTACAGTAATAAATATATTTCGCTTGTTTATTTGCCAAACTTTCTAAAAAATTTGTTTCTTACCATATTATTGGATTTCATATCCGCCGATCCGCAGAATGTATGTGATAGTTTTGGCGGGTTTTATATATAATATGCATTCCGGATAAAATATGATTGATTTAAATTTATCTCATGTTTACTAGTTGGTCGCCAGTGATTTTTTTTCATGCTCACGTGTTTTTATAGTTCATTTATACCTTTCCACTCTCTCCCATCACTGGACGTTGGTCTCCATGAGATAAAAGAGTTGTCGCATAAATATCATTGATATTCGTGACTCCCCGTGAAATAACTATTACATGATTTACATCCAATGATTACTCGAGAATAAATCACGCTGATCAGCATTTAGAATTTACGAATATTTTGCGGCACGTTACATTAAATAAATGGAACGTTACTGCACGCCATTGTGTTACATAGTTTTCGATAATTCTGTCGTCAGTATAGAACCAATATTTTTTCTTACTTCTTTTTGTAATAAAAAATATGGAAGGAAGTTCAAGTCAGGTAAATTATTATTTTAAGCAATACTAAAATTTTAATCAATTTCAAATCATTAAAACTAATTTTATATAATAATAGAGTGGAAGTTCTTTTACCAATACTGCTCCTGGAAACTTAGAAAATAATAACTCTCTTTCGTATAAGACGATTTTGTGTGAAAATATATCCAACAATCGTATCCTTCTTAAATTAGAAGAAGATGGATTCATCACGCCTGATGAAAAGGCAAAAGAACTTATTAAGGAACTATCCGAAATAAAGTATTTATATGCTTTGAAGGTGCTTTTTGAAAACTTACAAAGTGAGTTTTCATCTCAAGTTTTAGCAAATTCATTAGAAGCTTTAGTTGATACTCCTTTTAATCATTATTCAAAAGAGAGTGTTGCTAGATTAGAATTACATTTAAGAACTTTGGTTACCGTCTTAGAACGGATATGTTTTTCACCAATAGTACTTGGTAAAGAACTTCGAGATAAAGTTTATAATTCTTTGGCAAAATTTGCAGAAATTCATCGTAAAACAACTCAAGTTATCGAAATAGGACTTGATAATAATTTTAGACGAAATTTCAATCAATTCAATCAACAAAGTAATAATCAAGATAAACAAATTATTAAAAAGCGTAATTATAATATTGATTTTTTATTAATTCATTTGCGAGATTCTCTTCATAGTTTACGTGATGATGAAACTTGGTTTCAAGAAATTATACGAAGAACTAAAGATTTTCTTAAAGCTGCATTAAATATTACACCAGGAATTTTATCAATAGCAGGAGTTTCTCTTCCAAATGATAATTGTTCAATCTTATCACTTCTTACTCAAGTGCGTCAAAGTTTAAGTTTTAAATATCCAGTAGCATCTTATTATATAGATTGGAGAATTATATTAATAATTCAAAATAATCTTTTCATTTGGTCTGAAAGTTCTGAAAAGATTATTAGTAAAAAATTTAGTGAATTGGTATTAATGGAATATATCTGGAGCTTTTTGGAAAGAGAATGGGTTAATGCTGCAGACAAATCTATTTTAGGTTCTCAAACAAAATTTGAAGAAGTATCAAATAAAGTCACTAAAGCTTTGAAAAATGCTGGAGGTTTATTAAATGATCTTGCTGGAAATGAACCTATTGCATTACCACATACTTTATGGTTTGGAATATTAGATCTTGCACAAAATCTTATCCAAAGATCATCCCGAAAAGCAACATATGGTCTTTGTTATTATTTAGCAATTGAATCACTTAATAAAGCACCAAGTAGTTTTATTCAGTTTAAATCTATTGAATTATTATTACATTTATATAATATTGATAATAAAATGTTTTCAATGATTGAAATTGATTTTGATCAATACACACAAAAATTAAGTGAAAATAATTTGGAAGATTCTTTAGAAAAATTTCGAAATTTATTAACTTTTGTCAAAGAGAAATATCATGAAGATTTAAAAATTTTAAGTAATAATATTGGAAAAGGAAAAGAGGGAAAAGGAAAAAGTTTAAATCTAAATTCATATTTAAAGAAAGAACAAACATCAAATTCTAACATTTTAAATGTTATAGCAGATGAAATTACTTGTCCAATTAGTAGTGAACCAACTGATCAATTATGTATTTTAAAGTGCCAACATATGTTAGCATTAAGTAATTTAAAAAGATTAAAACAAAAAATATGTCCTAATTGTCGGGAAAAAATTGAAGATAATGATATTAGATATTTACCACAAAATTCAATTTATAAAAATTTATATACAAAATTTTTTGAATCTGGATATATTTTACCCTCAATTGAATTAGAAAATTCCGATGACAGTGATGATTCAGATAATTCAGAAGTTGAACTTATATTAACTAAAAAAAAGAAATTTATGAATTCAATTATTAAATTAAATTCGAATATATCATCATCATTACTTTCAAGAATTACAAAAAAACAACATCCAACATATCAAAATATTATAAAAGAAATAAATGAAAAAAATTATGAAAAAGCTGAATCTTTATGTAAAGAATTTTTAAATTTTTTTCCTAAAAGTTATTCTTCAAGATGTATTTTAGCTTATATTTATAGGGGTCTCGACAATTATAAACAAGCACACTTATACTTAGAAGAAGCTATTGATTTAAATCCCAAAAAACCAGTTGCTCATTTTATTCATGGAGAAATATATTTTAGACAAAATAAATATGAAGAAGCAATAGATGTTTTAAAAAAGTTATTAGAATATAAAGTAAAATTAAATAATTTATATATAATACTTGGAAATAGTCACTTATTACGTAATTATGGTAATTATGATTACATGAAAGCTGCAGAATATTATAATATTTCATTAAAAAATGATTCAAACAGTTATTTATGCCTTAAAAATTATACATACAGTTATGAAAAACAAGGATTTTATTTAAATGCTCTAATGATATTAGGCAAGTTGTTAGATATTAGCAAGAAGGATTCTTTGGTTTTATGTTATTATGGAGAAATCTTATATAATATGAAACAATATAGTAAAGCTATACTATACTTTACAGAAGCAAATATTATAGATCCAGAAAATATTCATAATTTGAATAAGAGAGCTATTGCAAACTATGCTATTCAGGAATATGATAAAGTTATATTAGATCTTGATAAAATTATACAATTAGATCCATTAAATAGTTCAGCATATTATCTTAAAGGTCTAACATACTATACAAAGAATGACATCAATAATGTCACAATATTATTTGAAAAGTATGCAGAATTATTTAAATTACCGAGTTCTCAAAGTAATAGTTTAGAAAAATTCCAATTATTTCATCTAGAATATTTACTAAATGAAAATAGTTCTAAAGATTTAAATAATATATTAACAAAAATCAATCAAATCCCTAATATTAGCAAAAATAAATTATTGCTTTTAATTAGATGTAAAATATATATTGAATTAAATAAGTATTATGAAGCTAAAGTAGATTTGGATATGCTATATATATTAAGTGATAAATACAACGATTATTACCATAGAGAATTTTCATATATTCATTTATTACAAAAGTATTCGGATTTTTGGTCATATTTATATAAAGTTTGTAAAATTGACGAATGTGATTTTACCAAACTTGGAATTACTAACAAATTTAGTAAATACATGTATAAAAGTAAGAAAATATTTAATTTATTTATTATCTTCTATTTAAGTTGTAATAATTTAATATATTTAATATATTAGAAAAACACGTATATTTTATTTCAAATCTTACAAATTTAAATAGTGAACTTTGTCAATTCCAAGAAAGTGATATAAGCAGGTAAAGTTTATTCATAATAGTACTTTAAGTCAAGTTGACATATACCAATTAACCGAATTAACCATAATTTTAAAATCAAAGTTTATTAGGGCTGGTATTGTATTCTAAAAATGGAAAACTTCGTTTAGATTTGCCTAGACATTATAGATATTATAATTATTATCTTATTTGTAAAATAAATGTTAAAAAAATATTATCTAAAGATTGCTTTATAAAATTTATATATAATAATAATGTAAGTTAATTATTTAAAATCTCTATCATTATATTTTTAAAGTAACATTAACTCAATTATAGGAATATAATCAAAGTGAGCATATGTTAAAACATGAAGATGTGTCAAAACTTGAGGGATTAGGTTGGATAGAATATCAGAATTTAACATACTCATATGGTACTCAACTTTCAATTGAAATAAATTCTATTGAAATGGTATGTTCCTATTTACTTATTCAGATTAATTTCCTCTCAGAACAAAATATAATATTATTCTTTAATATACATAGCAAATAGATTATGTTCGATTTGGATATAGTCCTAACAAAATAACTTCCATTCCTAACATGAGTTTGATGGGTTATTTGTTACCATATTATCACCAATTTTTCTCAAATGTTCCAGAAATTTTCAAAGACAAGTATTTTTCAAGAAAAGAAATGGAAAATTTACTTGATTTAAATGATATCCTTAGCAACTTATAATTATTTACTTTCTTATTACTATCCAATTTGTTTTATTCAACATATTTTGAAATTTTTTTAAAAATTGAACCATTTATCTATAAAAGAAAATCTTTCGTTTCAGGGATTTTTTATTGAAAGAAGACCTTGGAAATTTACTATCTACACCTGGGAAAATACACAAAGAAATTTATTTGTATGCTGTAAGATATTTTCATAAAATATTAGTAATTCAATTTTATAGCAAGAGATAAAATATTACGTAAAATATTTATTCTTATTTTTTAACTGGATATAACAAATTTTATTGGTTAAACCTAACCACCGATATTTTATTTTTAACAACAAACATTATCGAAACGAAATATATTGTATAATTGTTTTATTTGATACAATAAATTATTTAACAAATTATAAAATATATATTACCGTATTATCTTTACTATAAACATATATAAATATATATATATTAGAAATTTAAATCTCTACAAAATAAAAAGCTTAATTATTAAAAAAATCTAATCATTACTTTACTAATTCAATTTCAGCTACTTCAATTATTTCAGTATTTAAATTCCATTGAATTTTCCAATTTTCAATAATATCAATAATTTCATTAATATTTGTTCTATTTAAAGGTGGATTATCCCAACATTTTATCATTAAATATAAATAAGATTTTGGAGTTCCTTTAATAATTTCAGGATGTAAACCATTAATAATTTCTTTTATTAAATTTTCATCATGAGAAAAATGAACAAAAGATTGTTGACCTGAAGTCAATTCCCACATTATTATCGCGAAAGAATAAATGTCTGAAGCTTTAGTATATATTTCTTCTTTTTATCATCGCCAATATTTGATGATATTTCTGATGTTATGTAAGGTATTATACCATAAAATTTTTTACTATATGATAAGGAATCAGAAAATACATTACATAATCCAAGATCTGAAATTAATCATATTTTGTATAACATTATATTTTAAGTCTTCATTTTCTTCACCTTCAAAAGATTTTGAAATATCTAATAAAACGTTTTCACCATGAAAATTACGATGTACTTATCCATGATTATGTATAGCTTTCAGTCCTTTCGCTATTTTTAATAATATGGAAATTTTCTGATACCAATCAATTTTAACAAACTGAAATTATCTTGAAAATATTGACGTAAATCTCCTCCGTTTGCATATTGCATAACCAAAATGCAATCGTTGGTTTCTGAATCCCGAGAAATTCTGTATAATATTGGACTTTTTTCTGAGCTCATTACAGTGTAATATGAATCAAGCTATATCAGAAGGGGACGAGGAAGGAAAAAGAAAGAAAAAATTATTATAAAATTTATCTAATTTTTATGATAAAATCGTTTCATACCTGACGTATAAAATCAGCTCCATTAATATTCTTTGATTTTTTTTAATTGTTTAAGAACTACATATTGAGATCCTGTTGTACTTTTATCGCTAAACGAAAATGAAATATTTCCTTCCGTGATCTATTCAAAGATTAAATAGAACAATATTTATTATAGAAACATATAGAGATTAAAAAATTCAATCACCTCATATTCAAGTCTAGCGATTTTCTCTTATTTTATAATTTATTAATAATATTAAATAAACCATCAGATTTTTTTTTATTGTCAGATAAAGATAAAGATTGTAAACCAAATTCTCTAACATTATTAGGAGCTTCTTCATAAATTAATTTCCAAATAACATCATCATTATGCTTTTCTACTTCATTTATCTAACCTTTCATCGTACCAAAATAAAGTCCATTATTCCAAGAAGCGAGATAAACGTTACTATAACCACCTTCTTCTAATAATATTATATTTTCAAATTCATCAAAAGGAATTATTTTAAATAATTTTCTTTAACAGAATGTGTTAATTGGGGTTTTTTAATAAATTCATCTAATAAATCTATTTCACTTGTCCAATAACCAAAAATTTTCTTTAAATAATTTTGTTTCACATTCGTTACACCATAATATTGAATTTTTTTTTATAAGGTGTTACATTTAAAACAATATTCTGATGGTGCTAAAATTGATGAGATAATGGAATTGGTTGGTAATAATTATAAACTACTAAAATTTGTTTCCGTATAATCTTTTGATGCTTGTTTGATTTCTAAATACGGTTTTCGCTTTTCTGATCGCATCTCTAAATAAATAAAAATAATAAAAATAAATAAAATAAAAGAAATTTTAAAAAATTATTAAAATAGCACTTTAAATAATAATATGATGACTTACCTTGACTTTTTATCCCATTACTTTTTTTTACAGATATATATACTGTATAATTTTGCGAAAAAAAAAAGATCTTAATTTTGCGAAAAAGAAAAATTAAAATTTGAGAATAAAAAAAAATTAAAATAACAAACAAAATTTTTTGGATCGGTAAATCAATATCATCATTTCTACTTATTTATATCTTTTTTTTATACCATTATTATTAGAATAATTGATAGGCTACAGTTACTTTAAGATTAAATACTTAGTCATTCTAAATCTATTAGTTAAAATTTATTTCAGAAATAAATTTATTTTCATTTACTGTAAAAAAACTTGCACCTACTGATTTACTTTATATAATCATCGTAAATAGATTAGGGATCCTTACAAATTCTTTAATTGTGGTCTCTTAGCCTTCTCTACTATATGAAATTTATTAAATTTGTTAAAGGTTATGGTGAACGTTACGTTAATATTCTTTTCTGGTCGTGTGTTCGAATATTGTTGCTTGGGGATTATTTGGACGAGAAGTCGAAAGTTGTGGCTTTTTTTACCTTGTTATCTTATTTTTATATTGGTTTCTTTTTCTCCTAGATTCATCAAATGAAACCGCAACCTGTTATTTAGATATAAATTTTTTTTTTATTATATCATAGTTCGAATAATCATTCCGGATCAGTTTAATATGAATGTTTGAAATATGTACCTAAACCAATTTTATGATATCATCATCTAAATAATTTCTTTTTCTAATTCAACAAAAAGTATTTATTTAATGCATCTGCTAATAAAGCAGCGTGAAAATCAGATATTACATCCAAAAAAATTTCAGCAAAAGTTTTATTATGTTTCTAAATTTACTGTCATTTTCTTTATTTATAATTCACGAATATCAATTAGAGAAATATTATTTCTTAAAAATTAGTAACTATATTTATTTTATACTTGATAAGATTGGAGAGAATAATTTGATAAAATAGCAAAAATACATCATTATTCATAATCAATATTATAATATCTTGGTAAATTCTAAATATAATTATGTCAGAAGCTTGGGTGTATTTCCAATTTGCTTTAATAAAATAAAATTTATTTGTTAAAGTATGTTCAAACTAATTTCATCTTATTTCAATTATTATTTTTAATTTTCATGTATACAGTAATTATTAACCTTGTTGTTTATAAATAAAAATACTAGAGAAAAATAATAACAAAAATCACGTAAATTTAATAATTACTCATTGTTTGGTAAGAAACATAAATATTTACATTTATTTTATTATTATTTTCATGTACACCGCTTTTTTATATTACATTTTATTTTTATTTTTAATTTTTCAAATAAAATATTAATTATAATTTTCGAGTATCGCATTAGTATCATGGAATATAATTAAATATTTTATTTATATAATTAAAAATTTACTACAACGACAACCAAAAAAAAATTACAATAAAAAATGAACAATAAAAAATAATAGTAAAAAAAAGTCTCAGTTAGTGTTAATTAATAATTAATAATTTATAAAAAAAAATAATAACCAAAATAGAGATTTATTTTTCGATTTGAACTAAAAAATAAAAAACTTGATTAAAAAAATTTATTTTTTGGTTTGAACCGAAGAAAATAAAAAAAAATTGATTTAAAAAATTTATTTCGGTATTGAACTGAAAATCAAAAATAAAAAAAAATAGTTGACCTAAAAACGCGATGATTGTGATCTGCTGCGGCCAATTGCATCACTGATTGCATCATCCCAGGAAAATGCCATTTTTTAATATAAAGTATATATTGAAACTTTCAGTGGAATATTGTTATGCATTGAATTATATGATTCACAAAAAAAAACTGGTATAAAAATATTAAAAATTCGTATAAAAAAGTGATTCACTTTTTGCAATACGAAAATCACATGACAACCTCGCAAATCGGATTTTGTCAATAATTTTGAAAACGGCAATAAAACCACAATTTAACATAACTAATTGAACAAAGAAATACTAGTAGACAGTATCACACTGGGAACTCTTAATCAACAAAAACAAGAAAAAGAAAAATAAATTGTTATTATTATTATCATATATTAAACCTATATATTCTTAAATTATTGGTAACGGCATGTTGAATGTATTTATTTTTTACTTATAATTCGTGCTCGCTATTTTAGTAATATAATCTAAATATAGTACGTTTGTCAAATTTTTTTTCATTCACCATTTTTTTTAATTTACTGTATATAAAAAAATGAAAATTTTTATTGTAATCATAATCATCAAAATAATATAATGTCAGTTCAAAGCATTATCAAATGCAAAATAGCTTTTTAAGTATAATCATTTATAGTATTTAAATATGCATATTCTATATAATATTTTAATATCTTTCGCAATAAATCTTGACATATTTAATAACTAGAATCAATTAAAAAAAATTATCAATTATCAAACATATTAAAATATGTTTAGATTACCAATGATTTTCTTCGAATTATTATTCAATTACAAAATGATTTTTATTTATGTAAAAAACATAAGTTTACATGTACTCTATAATCAGTGTTGAATAATATAAAGATATATATATACTAAAATAAAGAAATACTACGGTAAATTAGAAAAAAATAAAAATAAGAATATATTATCACATATAATTCTCATGTAAAAATATTTTCAATTTTGGCAATTCCTTTCTCATCTGTTATCATTCTACTCATCTGTTAATCTAAATAAAGGATTTAGTTTCAAATTAATAAATAAATAAAATCTCCTATCAAAAATTTTTGGCAATACTTACTTTGTAAAGTCAGTGACTTCTATTGAATTATTGTCAATATTATCATATCTTGGTAGATTTTTTGTAAAAGGGTTAAGTAATCGAGATGTATAAATAGCTTGTGCATGAGTTGATTGTCTATTTTTTTTAGAAGAGGAAATATTTAACCTTCTGTATTTTTCTGCTTCACTAAATCGTGCATGCCTAAATGAATTAATTAGTTCATAACATTCAGTTGCTTTTGGTCTATTGTCCGGATTTGGATCCCAACATCTTTTCATTAAATCAATATAACATTTTGGTGCTACTGGTTCTTTTATTTCAGGTCTAATTCCATCACAAATATTTAATACTAAAATTTCATCATGTGCACAATTAGCAAAAGGTTGTCCTCCAGTTGCTATAAAATACATAATCATGCCAAAGCTATATATGTCTGCTGCTTGAGTATAAGGTTTTCCCTTTAACACTTCAGGCGCTACATAAGGTATAACTCCATAAATATTACTTTGATTGACATCATGAACTTCTTTACATAATCCCATATCTGAAATAAATATATAAGTATGAAATCTAACATCATATATATAATTCGTATTTAGTAGTATATTTCCTGCATGAAAATCACAATGTACTAGATGTTTTTGATGAATTGCCTTAAGGCCTTTTATAACACCAAACAATAAATCTCCTTTAACATCCCATGTAAAACCATTGCTATTATAATTTTTACAGTATTTATCCAAATATTACAACTTCCACCTTCTGCATAGTCAAGAACCATAATATAATCTTTTGTATCTGGATTTTGAGATATACCATATATTTTAATTATATTATCATTTTGATAAAAATCATCAGTATCAAAAATAATTGAATATTTTTTAACCTATTAAAAAAAAATTTGTTAAGTGAATATATATATATATATAAAGAAAATTTCACAAATTAGGTCAATAAATATAAAAACCAATTATTCATATTTATTACACCTAAAATAAATTATAAAAATTTTATACCTCATTTAAAAATTCACTAGTGATATTTTGAGAATTATGCAAGAATTTTAAAGCTATTTCTTTACTTTGGTATTTCCTTGTATATCTATATTTATTATTACTATAGTATAATGGACCATCATCCCATATTGCTAAATATACTGTAGCAAATCCACCTTTACCTATTTCTTTAATAATATTAAACTGACTAAATGGTATCCATTCAAATATTATATCCTTATAAGAATCAATTTTTAATTGCATCTCTTGAATTAAATTATCAATATTTTCATTTCCACTGGTCCATTTTGTAAGATTATCTTTTAAATAATTTATTTGACATAGTTTACACCATTTATACTCTATATTTGTATATTTTACACCACAATTTTCACAATATTCATTTAGAAAAACAATTACAAAATTGTTTGTATCTGGATCTTGTGATATTCCATATATTTTGCCATTAATTAAATATGATTTGACCTATTAAATTAAAACATTAAAAAGTGATTAATATTAAAAAATTCTTTAAAGTTTAAAAATTTTACTATAGATTCATACCTCATCTAGAAATTCATTAGTAATATTTTGAGAGTTATGTAAACATTTTAAATCAACTTTTGTATTCTGACTTCTTGTATATTTATATTTATTAGAGCTATCAAAATTTAATGGACCAACCTTCCATATTGCTGAATAGTATATTACAAAATCACTATTTTTTATTTCATTAATATTACTAAGCTGATTGTATGGTATCCATTCTAATACTATATCCCATGAATAATTAATTTTTAATTGCATTCCTTGAATTAAATTATCAATTTTTTCATTTCCACTAGTCCAGTTGGTAAAATTATTTTTTAAATTATTTATTTGACATGGTTTACACCAATTACTTGCATATTCATACTCTTTGCCACATTTTTCACAATATTTATTATTTGAAGAAACAACAATAAAATTATTCGTATCTGGATCTTGTGATATTCCGTAGTCACAATACTATTAAAACAAAAACATTAAAAGGGAATTAAAAAAGTTGTTAAAATTAACAAATTTACTAAAAATTCATACCTTATTTAGAAGTTCATTAGTGATATTTTGAGAATTATGTAAGAATTTTAAAGTTATTTCTTTATTTTGGTATTTCCTTGTATATCTATATTTATTATTACTATAGTATAATGGACCATCTTTCCATATTNGTATATTACAAAATCACTATTTTTTATTTCATTAATATTACTAAGCTGATTGTATGGTATCCATTCTAATACTATATCCCATGAATAATTAATTTTTAATTGCATTCCTTGAATTAAATTATCAATTTTTTCATTTCCACTAGTCCAGTTGGTAAAATTATTTTTTAAATTATTTATTTGACATGGTTTACACCAATTACTTGCATATTCATACTCTTTGCCACATTTTTCACAATATTTATTATTTGAAGAAACAACAATAAAATTATTCGTATCTGGATCTTGTGATATTCCGTAGTCACAATACTATTAAAACAAAAACATTAAAAGGGAATTAAAAAAGTTGTTAAAATTAACAAATTTACTAAAAATTCATACCTTATTTAGAAGTTCATTAGTGATATTTTGAGAATTATGTAAGAATTTTAAAGTTATTTCTTTATTTTGGTATTTCCTTGTATATCTATATTTATTATTACTATAGTATAATGGACCATCTTTCCATATTGCTAAATATACTGTAGTAATTCCACCTTTACCTATTTCTTTGATAATATTAAACTGACTAAATGGTATCCATTCAAATATTATATCCTTATAAGAATCAATTTTTAATTGCATCTCTTGAATTAAATTATCAATATTTTCATTTCCACTAGTCCAGCTTGTAAAATTATTTTTTAAATTATTTATTTGACATGGTTTACACCATTTACACTCTATATTTGTATATTTTTCACCACATTTTTCACAATATTCATTTAATAGAAAAACAATGATAAAGTTGTTTGTATCTGAATCCTGTGATATTCCATATATTTTATCATCATCATCATCATCATCATCATCATTGCTAATTAAATATGATTCAACCTATTAAAACAAAACATTGAGAAAGAATTAATATTAAAAAATTCTTAAAATTTATAAACTTTACTAAAGATTCATACCTCATTTAAAAATTCATTAATCATATTTTGAGAGTTATGTAAACATTTTAAATAAACTTTTGTATTCTGACTTCTTATATATTCATATTTATTAGAATCATAATTTAATGGACCATCCTTCCACATTGCTGAATGTACTGTAGTAGAATCATTTTTTTTTATTTCATTAATATTACTAAACTGATTGTATGGTATCCATTCTAATACTATTTTACATGGATGATCAATTTTTAATTGCGTTTCTTGAATTAAATTATCAATTTTTTTATTTCCACTTGTCCAGATTGTAAAATTATTTTTTAAATTATTTATTTGACATGGTTCACACCATTTATACTTTATATTTGTATATTTTTTACCACATTTTTCACAATAATATCCATTTAGAAAAACAATGATAAAATTGTTTGTATCTGAATCTTGTGATATTCCATATATCTTATTATTGTTATAATAACGATTATGGTCAATTAAATATGATTCAACCTATTAAAACAACAACATTAAGAAAAGATTAATATTAAAAAATTTTTAAAATTTACAAACTTAACCAAAGATTCATACCTCATCTAAAAATTCATCAGTGATATTTTGAGAGTTATGTAAACATTTTAAATTAACTTTTGTATACTGACTTCTTATATATTCATATTTATTAGAATCATCATAATTTAATGGACCATTATTCCATATTGCTGAATATACTGTAGCAGAATCACTTTTTTTTATTTCATTAATATTACTAAACTGAATGTATGGTATCCATTCTAATATTATATTCTTTGGATAATTAATTTTTAATTGCATTCCTTGAATTAAATTATCAATTTTTTCATTTCCACTAGTCCAGTTGGTAAAATTATTTTTTAAATTATTTATTTGACATGGTTTACACCATTTATACTCTAAATATGTATATCTTTTAACACATTTTTCACAATTTTTAATGTTGCCTAAAGATGACATTATGTTAAGTTTCAATAAACTACTTTGAATGTATTAACAGTTAAAATGAATATTTTTATACTGAAAAAAAATTTGTATAACCATCTTTCCTTCGTTTGTAGCATGTGAAACGAAATGACATACATTTATTATTATGTTGCACAATTTCCAGTTTCATAGTTAACCGGAAATGCAAATAATTCTGCAGCAAAATATTTTGTTTTTACAAACGTTATTAATGTAGGACCCAGAAATATATATATAGGGGTCAGGTGATGAAAAAGTTTTTTAATATGAGCTGTACGCATTTTCTCAGAGCCGGAATTATGATAATGTCAGTCGGTTACTATAATAGGAAATAAAATTCTGACTGGCATTATCAAAAATTATCTCAAAAGGAAAGATTTTCATTGTTCAAAATACGCAAACTCAAACCTGACCCTTTTATATATATTTCTGGGTCCTATTAATGTTCAAAAAATTTTATTTTGTTTATAATACTGTCTAAAATACAAGCAATATTCATTTTTTCTATAAAACAAACAGTTTTTTAATTTTAATAAAACTATTGTACCTTTTATTATTAGCTTTTGTCTTGTACTCTTGTTATATTCTCTGAATTGCAAAAGAATTTTTAGTGACGACGTTACTTCAGAGGAAGATAGAAATACCAATCATTTTTAGTTATTACGATTTAGGAAAGAAAAAAAATTTTTGCTATGAGGATCAACAAGGAGTACAAAGTAATGTTACATGTACCGTAAGAATCCTGCAGGTACAACTTTATTATGAAATTGCGCAATATAACGGACAATCCGATTGGTCTAGTATGCATATTTTTTTTTTTTTAAACACCAGACCGTTGTATAATATTTTCGTAACATTGATTACAAATCAGACAAAATACTTGTACAGGGAGAACCCATACGGCTATACCAGGACCCAGAAATATATATAAGGGTCAGGTGGCGAAAAATTTTTTTACTATGAGCTGTACGCAGAGACTTTTTATATGAGTAGTAGTACATAATTGACACCTGATATTGAAAATCCTGCAAAAATACGCAAATAAAATTTTAGACATTATTAATTATTTTATCATTACTTTTATATTATTATAAAACCAAATACTAATGTGAAAAAATAGAATTTATCCTAATTTACTATTTTTCAATAATATTTTTCTAAAATTTCATTTTTTGGCTCTTAGAAATTTCTTTCCGCAATTAATTTAATACTAAATATTACAATGCGGTTAACGTACAGTAAATATTACATATATAAGATTAGCCAAATTTAGGCCAAAAATATGCAAACTAATTTTTTACATATAAAAATTTTGATAAAAAATACGCAATCTTAATTCTTAAATTGTACGCAAATCAAAACTTTACTCCGTTTAATTCCACTATGATGATAACGCATCTGTGTACCCTACCTGTATATATTTTTGGGTCCTCCTATACCCTATAAGAAATCTGTATATGAAATGGAAATGATATGTTTTGTATGCGTTTGACATCCAAAATGTTTTTTAAAAAAATTAATGTATTCCCACCCACTATTCTTTTTTAGAAATTTATTTTTATCCTTTGTTTTCTAGCTTCGTCACCCTCTTTTAAAATTTTTTTTTTTGATTTTATTTTTTCATTCCCCACTCGCTACCCTTTCTTTTTTTAAAAAAAATTTTCTTCTTTTCATTTGTCTTCCCATTTTTATAAAAAAATTAACTTTATTCATCATCCCTCCTTTTCCTAACTTTGCCACCCATCCTTTTTTTAAAAAAAAATTTTTCTTAAATCTATTCTTACATTCCTCGCTCAATACCTTTTTTTTCTAATTTTGGTTTAAAATTTTTTTTAAAAAAATTTTTTTTTATTCCCTTAGGCTTTTTAAAATTCTTTTATTTTATATTTTTTCTTCTTTTGTCTTATAGGTTGAATATATATTTTTTTGTAGGTTGGTACTTCTTTGTGGATCAGTTCTTCTTCATGGATCAGTTCTTTTAATGAGAGTCAATTCTTTCTATGTAGATCAATTCTTTTAACGTGGGTTGTTTCATTTACGTGGGTTGTTTCTTTTTATGAGCCAATTCTTTTACGTGGATTAATTTTTTCATGGGTTGTTTCTTTTTGTAGATTGAATGCTTCAGGAGTTTTTTCCTTTATTTGTAGGTCTTTCTTTTACAAGTCTCCAAACTTTAGAAACGTCAACTTGGATGATTACAGGGGAAGTTTGGCTTTTAATTGAGTTAAAGAAACATTCTTATATTTCTTTTTTTTTTCTAGGTTAGATTCTAGAAGACTTAGATGCATCTAGACTATAAACATATCAATAAAATGATTAATTAACAATGCATTTGAAGGAAGAACCAAATGTTTACATAATTTACCTTATAAAAAATTTTCTGAATTTCTATTTCTATATTTTTTATAGGGTTACACATTATTATCTACTAGGAAATTCAAAGTTCCTTTTTGTTTTAGTTTGCAATAGCTAGAAAAGAACTTTTCATAATATATTTGTATTTTATTTTATTTTTATACATTTTTTTTAATAAATATTATTATTTTAACAATAAACTGTAGTTTAAGCGGTAAATTTTGGGTTTACCGAAAATCGTTTCACCGACAGGTTCATTTCACTAACAGGGTTATTTCACCGGAAATCATCTTAGAAAATGACTTGAAATGACAAACGAATTAATTTACCATTTGTACCAATATTAAATATTTTGAAAGTTTTTATTTGATAATCTTATTTAGTAACATAAAGTAAAGAAACAAAATATAAAAAAAAAAATCTTGTTTTATCTATGTAACAAAAAAAATTTTCATAGTGGCAAAAGCTTTATATCACGTGATTTTTGAATAATTTTAAAGCAAATAAATTATTTAATCATTTATATAACAAACTAAGTATAATTACAAACTAAAAATTAAAACTAAAAATTGATAAATTATGTTATAGGAAAAATGCCTAAATTTTTTTTTTTCATAAATCGTTTTTGCATGGAGTGGTGAAAAATAATACCAAAACAACAAATTTAAATCATTCTAAGACATTATTATATATATATAAAAGAGCCAATAAAAAAAATTTCAAATCTTAAAAAAACTATTTTGGCTAAGTAATCCAAATTTTGATTAATATTTGAGTATCTTTTACAAATCACGTGATTCCGCAATTAGAAATTGTCCAATAATCTCTTAAATACTAAATGATCGGTCATTTTTCATCATTTGGCATTTATCATTTCGCATAAACCAAATGATTTATGATTATGACAAAGGATTAGGCAAATCTTTGAATGGTTAATGGCTAGGTCATTTCCGAACACTGATTTATACTGTAAGCGAGGTGTATTACAGTCTGGGATATTTCCAAAATTGGATTGTGTAACAGATCACGTTCTGGAATGATTCTAGAATGATCGGCAATTACACCAACATTTTAATTGGTTAATTCCTGTCATATTAACGTGATTTGGTGAAAGAATTTCTCACGATATATTCTTTGAAACTGCAAAACGTAATTATAAAAATACGTCATAAAAGGTATGTATTTTCATAATCAGTGAATATTTTTTCATAATCAACTCTCTTTCAAAAAGGTATGAAGACCATAAAATGACTATATAATGACATAATTTCATTTTAAATGCTTTTTTTTTTAGTTTCATTGTCATTTTTTTTTATTTTTATTTTAACTTTTTTCTTAATTTTATTGTAGTGATAATGTGCGAAAAATCATATGCTAAAGAGCTGCCTTTTTCACAAATTTAGTAATCACATATGAGCGAAAAGGTTTGAGAAAATGTGAGACAAACCATCACAAGTATGGCGACATGTCTCCTTCTTTATCATACTTTTATCCTGAATCAATTACAGAATGTCAAAGATTTTGGGTTTATTTAAGAAAACTTAATTTTCTTAATCCAATGGAGACAAAAACAGATTTTAAAAGTCTAGGTGGAGAGAGTAAATTGAGTGACCAGTTGAAAAATTTTAGTAATTTGGCAAAAAAGGCACGACAAGAATATATTATTGAAGTGTTTTACAAAAAAAGTTCAGTTCTTTCATTTCTGCCTATTCCAATAACTCAACAAGAAGCAATGGTGTAGACGAATGAATTCAACATAATACGAATAGAGATTTTGCATAAAGTAGAATCTTTTAGAACAAATGAGTGAAAGTATTCACAAGCAGTGCTATGGAATAGGATCTAAAAGGAAAAGTAAATTGCTAGCCATATTACAAGAGGTACGAAATTTGCAGAGTGTAGATAATGAATTAGATGATATAGATGTAGTTTAGGCGAAAAAAAAATATTTTTCAAATACAGAAATAAATTAGAAAAAATAATAAAATTATCTAAGATTTATCATTTCGAACGATCAAAGTAGCGATGTCAGTCATAGAATATTCTGATCAACATTCTTTGATCAGCATATACAAAAATGGTAAGATCACTACCAATCAAAATGCTTAAAAATGATTCCATTTATGGTAAAATCCCGGACTGTATTAAGTGACAACTAATTAGTTTTATAATTATATTTACACAATTACACAATATATACAAAGGCGCAAAAATAAAATAATGTCATCTAATTTTCAAATTATTCCCTACCCATTAGAAAATAGTATTACATATCGAAACTTGTAAAAAAATGTAAAAAAAAAGTCATTAAACTTAACTTTAATTATATTATTTAAAAGGTGTTTATCCTAGCACAAATAATATGAACGAAAAAAGACTAAATAAAGCCTGCACAACAATACAAAATTTCATTATAGAAACTCGAGTTGCTAAATATCGAACTAGGAAACCGTTGAAATCTGATATTATAACAAAACAGATTAACTAAATTGACAACAGGTTTTATTGTTTTTTTTTAATAAAATTTTAAAATTTTTTTTCTCGCGAAAAAAACAAAACATTATCAGTGATACAAAATTGAGATTATATGTTACAAGTAAAAAGTGTTACATAATCAAAAAAGGAAAAAGCAAGGTAATTAGTGAGGTGTCATCAGCGGATGGAAGGAGGGAAAATTTCATGGATCACCACAAAATCGTTAAATACTCTACAATAGAAAGTCTACTCTAATTTTAGATTAATTATGACATCTGATGCATCATTAAATTATTAAAATCATTATTTATCTTTTTTTTTGATAAAATTTTATTTTTAGAGCTCATTTACCCATATCGGACTTTATCCCTTACATGCAGTGTGCGGTGTGGGTATCGAAATAATAAAATGCCAGTTTTGAGTTTTGTATACATAATAGCGTTTACTTTATTGCATTATATGATTACATGGACGTTCAATGTGTACTCTCTCCCTCATCATATATTTAACTTGCTTCTCAAATATTTTCCACATTTTTTAACGTGAATACAAACTTCCTTTTCTATATAGAGAGAGCGGATGAAATGCCATATCGGGTTTTCATTTGACCATTCTGTGCAACAATTCTTTAACATTATTATGCCTTATCAGGTTCTCATTCAACCAATCGATTTTTTATGCCTTATCATTTGACCAACCTATTTTTATGTCTTATCGGGTTTCTCATTTGACCAATCTATTATCTGTGTGACAATTCTTTAACCCTGTTATTGTGCCTTATAAGGTTTCTCATTTGATCTTATCTGTTCTTATTAATTATCGGATTTTTCATTTGACTAATCTGCAACAATTATTATTTTTTTACCTTAACCGAAATTTGATATATAATTCGTTGCTTTCTTTTTTTTTATGTTTATAATTCTCAAATTAATTATGATAAGTATCAAACCAAGTTTTGATTCTACAGCCAGGTTTAATGAATTACTTAATCTTTGGGACGCTAATGAGACAAGTTACTGAGGAGACGTTTACAACTTCAGGGCTACTCTTCTTAAACTACCACGTCGAAAATATTTTTGCCCTCACCCTTTTGCACGAATTTTTGCAAAATTAAAAGTTTCTGAAAATTAAAAAGATTTTCTTACCCGCGGCACATATCAAACCACTGTAAATCTGGTTTTATCATTGCCGGTGCTGCGAATTTTGGCTAACAGTAAAATTACCTGCCATATCAAACCATACCGGGGTCTCATCAATATTGAAAATATTGTATAAATCAAAGGATTTTCAGTCCTCAGGCGGTGAATAAGTTGATGAAATTTAACTAAAGATTCTTCTGTTTGACTTGGTAGCTTCTGGAAAATTTTTGTACGTCGCCGCCAGGATAGTTTATATCTTTTCATGAAAGAGGATATCCACCGATATGACTCAAATTATTTGCCGAGTCATTATATAAAAATATCATTTCAGGCTCCTTTAAAATTTCTTGCATTTTAATTCGTAAGATTGTATAATAAATAATAGCCAATCCCTGCTTTCTTTGCTCAATAAGCCAAACATACAGCATTCTTTCAGCCTCGGGATAAAAGGCTTTTTGACCCGAGCCAATTCGTTTACAGTTTTGGTTTATTTCAGTATCCCAACTTTTGCTTGCCGTAACCCAACGCTCTACCATACTGGCATTAAGATGGAAGGTTCTTGCCGCTTCATTTCCTCTGTGTTGCTTAGCGTAAGTGATAACTTTGTTCTTTTGATTAACAGAGTATGAAGTACGACTTCGCTTGATACGTAAAACCTTTGTGCGGTTTCTTGTCATTTTTTATGAAAGTTTAAAACAAGTTACTAAATGTGTTTCGCATAAGTCTCGTGTTTATAAAATCATTTTGCTATACAAATTAGGTTGCAGTTTCGAAATTTTGATATTTTTATTAAACCACCCGAAATTAAGCACCCCTATAGTAAAAAGGGTGCTCAATTTCGGATGTATACGGTATCCATTAACAATTTAACCTGACAATGATTCAATAGATACGATATTGGAAAGGTAGTAGAAATAAAATTATTTCTTGGGTCTGTTAATATATCAGTCATTGTACGATATTATGCAGAATATTTACAAGCAAATTGTTAAAGAATATACACATATATATATTTTTACCAGAAAAATTTTGCGAAAAAAGGGAAGATGAGATTTTAACTATAGGATTTGATATAAAAAAGTATAGTAGAATACTTTTGAAGCATATTTTTAAATATTTCAAATATATATTTGGTAAATAAATCATTTAAACGTTCTCTTAATTAATAATAAAGTTAAAATGAAATAAAATTTTTAACCAATTTTAATAAAAAAATTTTTCAATAATACGAACCAAGTTCATTTCCATATCCGGATTAATTTAATAGGTGTACTTCCTCTAAAAAAAATTACTCTAATAATTGTAAGTCTTTATACCTATATGATAATATATTTTTAGTTCGAAATTGTACCATTATTTTGCACCGAATATCCAAAAATTTCGATAAGGGCCCTAAAATGGTTCAAAAAAAAATGATTTAACGTGATCTTAGACTAGAATCGAACTAGCCGAAGCACAGACATGCTTTCCACCAGGATAAGATTTAAAAAAAAACTTATCTGTTTTCTTAATCTTTTAAACACATAGGAGAAAGAAAAGAAACAGATTAAAAGAAGAGAAACACCTTAATAATATGGAAGAAACTAACTAGAGCTATGACTTCAAACACCAATCGGTAAACACAGAGGGATGCTATGGCTGACCAGCCGGGAGACAGAGGGCATATGCTATGGGTTTATCACGTTTCCAATAAACCAAGGTCGTCTACAATCACATTATGTATATTATATTATACATATCATGGTCTAGTAAGTTCAACCATCTTCATTACACTGGTGACCAGATGTAAAACTTAGACATCACCAGAAATAATGGGCGTTTTTACTAATAAAACTGCAAAACAAACTCTTTTTGTACGAGATAGATACCTCGTTACGCGTGATGACCAGATGTAAAACCTAGACATCGTCAGGAAATGGGCGTTTTTACTAATAAAACTGCAAAACAAACTCTTTTTTTATACAAGAGAGATACCTCGTCAAGGTTAACAGTTTATTAAAAAAAAAAACTGCAGAACCATAGAAAAAAATTTTCAAAAATGGGTTTATATAGATAAATAATTGATATTTTGTAACTATGACTCAAATGTAGTATTACGCGATTTATTTCATTTTGATCAATATTACATGATGGTTTAATCGGATCATTGATGCAATTTTAAAATCCGCATGGTAATGAAAAATTTACACAATATAAATTTTTATAATCATCTATAATCATTATAATCATATATGACTAATACATTACATTTTAATTATTAGTAATAAAAAAAATGAAAATTCTTATTAATTGCAAATAATGGTTATACAATATGACTCCATTTCTCAGAAAAAAATAAGTAACCAAGTAACTATTAACTATAACCAATTATGACTCATAGTGTTACGCGATTTACAAATATCTTAACTATCATTTAGTATGCCCTATAAAAAATTTTTTTCCGAATATTTCCATTATTTCTCCGTGTCTTCTGTAAAAATTCCGTGAAAATGATACATTCACGGATATCCGTGTTAGCGAGATGAAAATTTCCATGATTTGAGGTTATTAATTCCATGAAAATGATACATTCACAGAAAAAGCATGGAAAGATAAAAAACGGATCAGATTTTTTACAGGGATGGTAATATGAGTCATTTAATGTTATACTAAAAAAATATTTTATCATAATACATTATAGTCAGCATCGTTAAAAAAAAAGGAACACGGAAATTTATATATTATATGGTAATTCCATTTAAGTTCCATAAAATGTTTCAAATCAATTAGAGTTATAGCATCTACATAGGTATGATTTTTGTGATCCCATTACAACCACTTTCTTTACAAATTGTGTGCACAATAAAATAATAAAATTGAAATTGTTTCAAAACAAAAATATTTTCTTCATTGTATTTACACAACTTGAATAAAAAACTATTATATTTTATAGTGATTTGTGACAACATTATAATTTAAATAAGAATTGTAAATTTAAAATTGATACTTGATTAAAATTGTTTCAGTTTTTTATATTTTGGATAATAAAATCAACAAAATTAATTTTAGTATACTAATAATTTTATAACGTCAATGACTAAAGTTGTACTAACTGAATATAATAATTCATCTTTAAGAGTATGAAACATGACTAATTAAATTAGATACCATGCACAACACAAAAATTACACTAAAAAAATATTATAAAAGGAGATGATATCTTTTGAAGTTTCAATTCAAAAAAAAATTACTTGTTAAATTTCTAAACTCTATAAAAACTCTTAAATTTCTAACTCACTTTTTTTTAAAAAAAAAAAATTACTTGATCATGTATCAACCAAAGAAATATGTGACTAAATATACTGAATTTACTGAAAAATGTGATAAATATAAATCATATCCTATAAGAGGAGGTATCTTTAAATGTGGATCAAAAAAAAGATCAGAGTCTTTAAAGCTAATGAAAAATAATGAAAAGATTAAAAATATTCCAATTGGCCATTGTCATCAGGATAAACCAGGAGAATTCCCTCAATGTTATCAACAAAAGAAACCAATGACTCCTTCAAATATTCCAATTGGAAATTCTATTCATTGTCATCAGAATAAACCAGTCAAATTAGGAGAATGTCTTCAATGTTATCAACAAAAGAAACCAGTGACTCCTTTAATTGAAAATATTCCAATTGGAAAATGTATTCATTGTCATCAGAATAAACCAGTTAAATTAGGAGAATGTCTTCAATGTTATCAACAAAAGAAACCAGTGACTACTTCAAAAATTGAAAGTATTCCAGTTGGAGAATGTATCCATTGTCATCAAAATAAACCAGTCAAATTAGGAGAATGCCTTCAATGCTATCAACAAAAGAAACCAGTGACTTCTTCAAAGATTGAAACTATTCAACAAAAAAAGCCAGTAACTCTTTCAAAAAAAATTGAAAATATTCCAATTGGAGAATGTATTCATTGTCATCAAAATAAACCAGTCAAATTAGGAGAATGTCTTCAATGTTATCAACAAAAGAAAACTTGCTTAGCACCTTCAGAACAAATGAACAATAATGAAAAAGTAACTCTAGTACCTTCAGAACAAATGAAAAATAATGAAAAAACTAAAAATATTGGAGAATGTATCCATTGTTATCTGGAAAAATCTATTAAATTAGGGGAATGTTACAAATGCTATCAAAAAAGAAGTAATAAATTTTATAGTAACAAAAAGGAATGTCCTGAATGTAAAAAAAGAATTACAGATATGAATAGGATGATAAATGACAAAATTTGTACTAGATGTCATACAAAATATCAAAGAAGATTTGATAATTTTAATAATCAAGTAACATGTAAAACATGTAATGAACAAAACCAAAAAAGAGAAATGTATAATGAAAATGGACAATGGTTCTGTTCATTAGATTGTATGTATGCAAAAAAGATATTAGATGAAATTGGAGACATGAAGAATATTAACAAGGAAAGAATTAACATTCTAGTAAATAGATTTACAAGTAGTAACAAGAATGCAGGATCAACATACAATCTTACTTCAAAAATGATTATGGAAAAAATAGAAATAAATATGAAACAAAACAAATCAAACATAGAGAATGTATTTGATGAAATAAAGAAGACACCTGATTATACAATAGTGTATAATTTATAATAGTACATTATTGTAAAATTTAATTATAGAACGAAGATTGATGATTTGGTTATAATTATTATATAATTTCTCATTAATTATAGTATATTATTGTAAAATTTACTTATAGGACGAAGATTTATGATTTGGTTATAATTATTATATAATTTCTCATTAATTATAGTATATTATTGTAAAATTTAATTATAGGACGAAGATTGATGATTTGGTTATAATTATTATATAATTTCTCATTTATAATTATTTATAGTCTTTACTAATAAATAACATTTGCATAAGAATAATGGCATTAAAATTAGCTTTATCAACTACTTCCTGTCTACTATATACAGTAAATGGCATCAAAAAAAAATGAAATTCCATCTCATAAATAATTATTGTACTTATGAAAGTATAAACTTTAATACATATGTAGTTAATCATTCTCAACAATATTATACAATTTTAATTAATCTTATACTATAAACAAAATCATAGTTTTATTTTTTAAAAAAAAAGTAACCTACTTTTTCTCTTTTTCTTCTTTTTTTAAAAGAGTAAAAAGAATGGTTAAGGTTCAAATATATTATAATGAAAAACTTTCGGTATATTTTATTATTAAATCGGGATTTGGGTTGATAATTATTGGTGTGTAGCTTGATCAGGCGTTAATTGGTTATTTTTGCGATCAGTGATCAATTCTGATTTTGATCACATGATTGGATTGGTTATTGTGAACAATAGTATGTTGTCACTATGTTGTCTGTGCAATGACAAAACATTATGATAGATCATTAACTTTCGTAAAGTTAGTACCTGGACCAGCCTAGATAAAAGGTTAATTTCAATCCAAGTAAATTTGAAGTCATTTCCTCTAGTATTACATCATAGTTTTTTCTTTGGTAATGACGTTGATGTTTGTTGGTTTCATTTTTAGTTAGCGTTTGGTTTTGTGTTTGAAAAATTCTTAATTTTTCTTAGCTTATCATATCGGTATATGAGACTGTGTCTCCAACATTATTATGTTTACCAGATTTTTTCCGGAATTTACTTATTTGGTTTTAAAGCATAAATGAAAGAAAAACTAACTTCAACACGTATGAGAATTTCGATTAATATTTCCATATTAGATATAGATTTCTATTAACCATAAATTTTTTTACCAAAATTATATTGTCCCAAATTTACTTAGAAATTTTGAATATTATATGATATTATTTTGAAGTTGGCAACGATCCTTACATAAAAATATTTCGTGCACATAGAAGAATATTATCAACTGATGTTAACAAAATCACATATTAAATTACCAAATAATTTTTCAAATAATCTTGAAGTTCAAGAAGAAATTTGGTATAAAAATAAAAAAATAAATAATTTTCATGTCACTATTTAATTTTTTTTTTTTGGGTATATTAATGGAAGGAGGCTTTTCTTTAGAGAAATACAATACTTCAGACATCGTTAATTAAAATCTTGATCGCTGCCAGTGAACTTTTGGAGACAAATTAAATCAATTAAGAAAACGATGAACACTGAAATTAAAATTGTTTTACTTCTAAAGAATAAATAAAGTTTGAGCTAAAAAAAGAAGAAAAACGCGTGAGAGAAAAAAATTTATATTCCATATTATTAGAATATTTTAATAAGTACAAATTAATAAATACGAATTATTAATTCACATCTTTAATAAATTTTAAAATATCTCTAAATGTTAAATCCACTACCAAGAATTTCATTTATAAAAATGTAACAGTATCATTAATCATTATATCTTTTATAAATATTAATTTGATTTTGTCTTTAACAAATAAAAATAAACGTGTTAACATGATTAATAATTATCAAAAAGAAGCCAAGATTTGGTTTCATATATATAGAACTTTTATTATTTTATTTAACAAGAAATTATATATATTTAGCTTCTTATTATTTGAAATACTTCATAATGTTCTATTGAAAATTTATTTTCAGTGTCTCTTATATTTCTTTTATACATCGCTTCTTTACAATAAATTACGTTAAAAGAATTAGTATTTCTATAAGAAAATATGTTAAGATCTTGGCCGAAATGTGGATCACATGTATTGCTATAATCTAATGCATATTCTGCATTTATTACATTACTTAAAATTGCATCTTTAATGTTCTTATTTTTAAAGAAAAAATAAACTTTTATTATTATAATACCATTTGCCAGTAGTTTCCCACTTCATAGGATTATATCCACCAAGAATTTCTTCATTTCTTTTACTTTAATAAATGTAACAGTAATTAGCTTTTCCATCACATAATTCATGGAATTTTTAGGAGTAAATCCATCTTGACTTTCTCTTAATCATAATTCAAATTTCTTGGTAAATATAATTACTCATAATTATCGCTACTTTATCAACCCATTTTGAAACGGTTGAGATAATATTAGAATCAACAATTTTTGAATCAATAATCTGGAAATTAACAATTTTAATTTCATCATTCTTAATTTTTCTTGGACGTAAAACTTTGTATTTTGACACACCATCAGGTTCCATAAATCTTCATATAATTGTTGATCCAAGAGTTTTTGATATGGACGAACTTTTTGCGAGAATTCTCTAGACGATAAATTAAAAAATCTAATTAAAGGCAAACAATGTTGTAAAATAATTTTCATCGGTTTGAATTCATCATCTGGCCAAGTTTTAGGATCCGGAATGAGAGTTGGATTTTGTGCAAGACCCTATTTTAATACATATTTCCACACTCCGATTTCTTTCATTTGTAAATCATCATCATTTTTAATAAGTGAAATTAAAGATTTTTCAGAAAGTGTGGTGAAATCAAAAGATTTGAATATTTTTTTCGGGTGATTGAACCATTAAATTTGTACAAAATTCTTGAAGTTCTAATAAATTATTAGATTATGAAGAAATCTGTTGAGTAATTACAAAATGTTGTTCTATTGACTTATTTTCAATTAAATATTTTTGTAAATAATCAACTAGTTCTTAAAGATGAAGCTCATCTGCAGCTACCAATGTATTTAGAATATCTGTAGTTTTTTGTCCATTCAACAAAAGAATTTCATCATAAATATACCTATAATAAAAAAAATTTAAATATTAAATATGTAAATTTAATTGTGAAAATTAAAAACTTACCTTTAAATAATTTGAAAAATTTCTTGTGATATATTTGGAAATTTAATATGAGTTAATACGTCATCGTTGTTCTTTTTATTGGAAGCTAATTTTCGTCGTAAATATGGAGAACGGTAACACAAAATATTCATGTGCACGAAAAATTTTTACCAACTTTTAATTGTAATATCATAATATTCATTATCTTCCAAAACTTTGATATAATTTTGGCTTAATAATTTGGAAAATAATTCAGCAGATATTATTTACGTATTTTTTTAAAAAAATATTTTGTTTTTAATTTGGAGAGGTACAATTATATAATCTGTGACTATATAAATTAGCACAGACTTTTGTTACACGATTCAAGGGTACATCATTTGTTACTACATCACGGACCAGTCGGACCGTAGTAGTTTATTATTACAAAAAAATCATTTTTTTTTATCTTAAAAAAATTCCATTGTAGTATTAAAAAAGATTACATCTACTGTACTACATATCTATTGTTACTATATCTCGAAGAAATTCATTATAGCGATCTATTGTTACAGAAAAGAAAAAATAACTCACTATTTAATATACTATACTGATTTATGATTATGAAAAAAAACCCCCAGAAAATTAATTATACCGATCTATTGCATGAAAAAAAAATCTCCATAAAATTTACTATACCGATCTATTGTTACAAAAAAGAAAATATTTTTTCTACTACTTATTAGCAATAGTAGAAACGGCGTCACCAGAAAGAGAACTAAAAATAATACATTATTAGTAATCAACGTGACTTGTAACAACGTTTTCAGAGACGAAATACACCATTGAAGTATAACAACAAACGTTTGATCAAATTGGTAAGTCAACTAATAATCATTTTCTGTAATTACTATATAATTTATTGATTTAACAAATGTGTTATAGATATTATTATTACTTTTCGAGTCAATAAACTAGCAAGTGTTATACTACCTAGATTAACATCTGAATGGTATACTTTAAATAGCACATGTTATTTAAATTGAACATCAAAAAGGCAATTTATATGGTATCTATCGGGCGAGAAAGTTACATTAAAATGTGCAGAAGAACACTATTAATTTTAGTAAAAGCTATTTTTATTTTTTTTTTACATTATATTTAATTTTACAATCATCTATTTTTACAATTTGCTACAATCTTTCTCTTATAATGACCATTTAAATTATAGCTACGATTAAATTATTAGTTAATCTATAGAAGATTTCAAAAAAGCCTGATACATTATGTTAAATTGACGTACCTTTGCCTCTATGATAATATTTATTGCTGCAGAATCTTCTAATAATATATCCTACCTCTGCGCATAAAAATTATGATAATGTATAATTTTTGAATAGTGTTTGGTATTTTTTTTTAGGTCATAATGATCATACGATAAATCAGATTACTGAGGTTTACCAGCCAAATAAGTTGGTGATATCGAACTTATGTAATAGTATATAAATTGTCGAAAACTTCGATAATTACATTTATAAAGCATAAATGTATATAATAATGCCCAATTCTAAAAACAATTAAATTTACAGTTCTATATACCGTCAAAAAATCTTTTTTATGATTTACGTAAACATTCAGTTGATTTATACCTAGTTCGCTTGCTACGACGATTTTGTTTACCCATTCCTTCTTTTCCAGGAGCCTGGTCGAACACCTTGCACTGACTTGGCTGTACTCGTGGAACTCTTCTCGCGTCGGTTTCCTGTTTCCTTTTTCATACGTTTTACATTCTTTCTCCATTTCTGAATTTCCAGAGATTTCGTTCTTTCTTTCCGTCATTTCATTTCTTTTTCTTTGTCTTGGCCGATTTATCCTTTTCTTTTCTTCTTAATTCGTTAACTACTTTTGCTACTTTATCCA